CATACATGCGGTCCCCCGACCGGTTTCGCCCGTCCGCACGGGTCTCATCAGGAGGGTGACTCCGAAGGAGTCTTCGTGCTCGAAAAGGGAGGCTACGACCATGCCTCCCATGCTATATAGTCTTGCTTCTCATAGTCACGTCACCATTCCCTCGCGAACCTGCATCCTTACCGTCTCCAAGAACCAAAAAAGGCACTGTTCTTCCGCCAGTCAAGACGCTCACCATCTACCAGTCGTCACTGTTGCTCTCCTCATTCATCCCGAAATATCCCTGTATCTGCTTCTGTCCCCGCCTAGGTACCGCTCCCGACTTTTTTGTTTTACCACTGCGGTTGTTCGCAAGATTCCGGTTCTATTCCCGTCACCAGGAAGACCGGTGTTCGAGTTTTCAAAAGTCATCTACGACTATCCATACTTAGTCCACATTCGAAACGTCCGACCGGTAGTAGCCGAAGAGAAAATCGTCAGAATAAATAAAGAAAACAAATAAACTAAACAAATACAAAATTACTTGCAGTCGCGCAAAATTTGAGACTATTTGGTTTTATCAGTCAATTTTCACGCCCCCTTCTATCTGCCTGTGGGCCTGTGGCCCTTCGGAACCCCTACAACAGAAAAATTCCCATGAGAAATGAAAGTTGAAAAAACATTCCATAAAAAAAAAATCCTTCATATTTATAAATTATCAATGTTCGTCCAATTCTAAAATTTTCAGTTTTATTTAATAAGTTCCCGTCTAAATATGAGTTTTCTCTTCCAACTACATCTATTTGTTCAAAATGGATTGAAAGTCTGGACGATTTTATGAAATGTTTTAATTAAATTTTCATTCTACTCCAAAAAATATCTTCCATGGGACAAGTGTCGGGGACAGCGGGAGAGCGAAGAAAAGGTGTGGTACCAATGGACGGAGTGTCGGGGGCCACATGGGAGCAAGTAAAGGCGCAACATCAATGGGATGGGTACCGGGGACCACGTGGCGACGATGGGACTAGTGCCGGGAACCATGAGGGACTAAGCAAAAATTGCGGTACCGGCAGGGCCACCGGCAGGACGGGTACCGGCGGGACTAATGTTGGGGACTAGTGTCGGGGACCAGCATGGGACAAGTGGCGGGGACCCGTAATGTGCCAAGGAAAAATGGCGGCATAGTATGCAGTGCAATAAAATAAAACAAGGTGCACCATCAAGATCGGAGATCTTGAGGGCCAAAATTATTGGCACCACTTGTGCAAGCTCTAGTGGGAGCAAGTGGGAGGGCAAAAAAGAAAAATAAAAAGTACGGAAACAAGTGGTGGGAGGCATGGGAGCAATCCGAAAAATCTCGGATTGGCATCCCCCAAGAAAATAGGGCCAAAAGGAGTCAACATGAAAAAAATAGGCTCTCGAAAAAAATTCGGTGCAAGGGGGCCTACCGTTTGGGAGAGAGGACTAACAGTGACTCCCAAGGGCATGGAAAGGCCACAACTGCAGTCCGAAAAATAACGGACTGGCCCTTGGGTATAGGAAGGGCCAAATGTAAGAGGAAGAGGCAAGAAAAGGGCCTTAACGGCTAGTTGACACTTGGCAAGCAAAAAAAAAAAAATAATAATAATAATAATAAAAGGAGAATGAGACAAGGGAGGTGAGAGAGAGCGAGTGAGTTGACCGTCAGTTGGGACTGCAGCAAGTAGGGACTGCCAAGTCCCAACTGTCCGCAAGTGAAAAAAAAAAAAAAAAAAAAAAAAAAAAAAAAAAAAAAAAGTTCCTTAACGGCTAGTTGACACTTGACAAGCACAAATAAAAAGAAAAGAAAAGGAAAAAGGAGGTGAGAGAGGATGAGTGAGTTGGCCGTCAGTTGGGACTGCACCAAGTAGGGACTGCCAAGTCCCAACTGCCCACAAGTGGTGGAAAAAGAAAAAAAGAAAAAAAGAAAAAAAAAAAGTAAAAGAGGGAAAGTCAAAAAGGCACTAACGGACAAAAACGGCTACCCAAGTTGGCGTTTTACACAGGATGAGTGAGGCACTAACGGACAAAAACGGACAAAAAGAAAAGTGAGAGAGGATGAATGAGAAAGATTTTAGACCAGATTCACTTGGGCAATGTGGCGGTTACAAAGGGCTATGTTTTTCTTTGATTTATGCTGAGAAAATTAAAGAAAAACAAGGCCCCATGCAACCGAAAAATAACGGATTGCATAGGGGAGGCCAAAATCAAGTTTCAAGTGCACCGGGAGCCAAAATTGAGACCGGATGCACTTGGGAGTTGGCCGCCTGATTTTCTTTTCATAGGAGGCTAGTTAAGGGGCATTTTCGGCAAGGGAAACTGCCCCTAGTGTAGTCCGAGGTGCAATGGACTGCATAGGGAGGGCCAGACATAAGGTATTGAGGCTCCGGGAGCCAAAATGGAGCCCGAAAGCCTTAGGAAAATTGACATTTTATTTTCCTTGGGCTTGGAGCATGTCGTGGGGCTGTGGGGCTAACAAGATAGGTGAGGATGCAGCCCGAGAAATTACGGACTGCACTAGGATGCCCGGAGTAAGGGAAAATAGGCCGCGGTACGCCGGAAACACTAGAAAATGGCGCCGTGGCACTAAGAGAGTATGACGGTAAGACGACGACGGAGCGGCGGAGGCCCCGAGGCCAGGAAAATATTGACGGCACTTGGGACACATGAAAAAAATAAAACGGGACTGATGGGAACGTGGGAAGTCCCAAATAAAAATTGGGCGTCAACCGGGATGACGCCGGGGGCCAAAAGGACCCAAATAAAAATTGACGGGAATTGGGCCTTGTCGACGGCACCGCCGGCGGAGCGGAAAAATGAGACTAGTATGGGAAGCGGCAAAGACTTGAGGTGTCCCGAGGGGGAGACCATTAGACAAGATGAGGAGTGACCATGAGAAATAAACTGCGCCGTCGAGATCAAGGATCTCGATGGTGGAAGATATTAGCATCACTAGTGTCAACACTAGTGGGGCTCAAACGGGTAAAAACGGGAGTAAGGAGTAATAAAAAAAACAATAAGGGGAGGGTTGCTCAGCAATCCGAGGTATTTCGGACTAGCTAGGCATAAGAGAATAAAAGCCCAAGGGGCTTCAAGCAAGAAACAGGCCAGCCGAGAAAAATCGGAACCAAGGGGGGTCAAAATGAGAGCTAATGGGAGTGAAATGGGCTCCCTAGGGGCATGGGCATGCCAACCTTGTGGGCCGGGGTGTAACGGCCAGCAGCCGGCCATGAACCTGGCCTTGTTCAAGGCTCTAAGGCTTAGAAAGAAGGTGCACAACAAATTGACACATGTCCAAAAAAAAATAAAAGAAAAAGAAAAGAAAAGGAAGAGAAAATGGAGGGGAAAATCAGAGAAAATGAGAGAAATGGGTGGAGGGGAACATGCCGGCCCATTGGGATGGCTGCGGTAGGGACTGCCAGGTCCCAATGATGACCTCACTCCTCCTAGATTCAAGGAGTGCAGGGCGGATTGCTGAGATATGGTCTCAAGGGCCATATCTCAACAGAATCTGAAATTAGAGGGGCAAAAATGAAAGAAAATGCAAAGGAAAAAATCCGGTTCTCTTTTGGACCATGGATCTGAGATCAGATTTCATGGTGGAGAGAAAATAGCCGTTTTTTGTGGGCCAGCACAAAACGGCTAGATCCGGAATGAGGTGGCAGCCCAAAATGGAAAGAAACAAAATAAGGAAAAAGACAAAACGGTGCATTTGGTCCAAAAAGAGAGCCAGATGCACTAAAAATTGAAAAATTGGAGCTAGGGGCTCAAAATTGAAGCATGGGCTACTAGGGGATAGCACGAATTATTACAGGCCATGGATCTCAATCAGATCCAAGGCTGAAAAGGTGCCGCCACTTTGAAAAATGGTCCGGCCTACCCAAGGGAGGCCGAAAACAAAGAAAATCGAGAAAAAGGTCCACTAGGTCTTTTTCCTTCAAGTAAAATTGCCCCTTGGGCATTAAGACCCAAGGGGGCAGCAATTGTGAGGTGGAAAAGAGGCTGGTGTAGGCCAAGGGGCAGTCCTAGTTGGTACCAACCACTCAGACTGCACAAACCTAGCCAAAAAGAGGCCCAGGTACCCCCGGAGAGACCTAGGGGTGAAAATTGGCCTTGGGGGTACCCCGGTTCACCTTGGGGCACTTGGGAGGGCCTAAGGGCTGGGCGGACTGCTGTCCCCAGCCTATATAAGTTGGGGATTCAGTCCGCCACTCTCATACTTGCATGAGGAGAGCCCATGCTGCCCAAATGAGCCCGTGGGAGCTATAGAGGCAACCGGAGAGTGGTGAGGGGAACCCCTCCCGGATTGGAAGCTTGAGGAGGTTGTGAGGTAGTGGGAAAAACTCTAGAGGATAGAGGTAGTGGGAAAAACTCTAGAGGATAGAGGTAGTGAGGGTGACACTAAGGGAGGTAGTCCGCCATAGCCCCCTGGGTGTGAGGGAGAGAGGGAGGCTAGAAGGAGTCTCATTAGCCCTCCTAGAGGGGAGGACTCCATAGCTATGGTGGTGGGAGCTTGAGGCAACCGGGGGAGAGATGAAAAAAAAGGAGGGAGAGGCTTGAAGAAGGGGGTAGCCATAGCCAAGGAGGAATTGTGCAAGAAGGAGAAGAAACCTCGTTGAGATTGAGACTCCATCTCCAAGATATCGGCAATCATCTCCAAGATATCGGCAAGGTGAGTGGGAGGAGGGAGATGTATCTTCTTCTCCTTCTTCTTCTTCTTCTTCTTCTTCTTCTTCATCTTCATCGTCTTCTTCTTCTTCTCCTTCTTCTTCTTCTTCTTCTTCTCACCCTTCTTCTTTCTCTTCTTCTTTTTCTTCCTCCTCTTTTTCTTCCTCTGTTTTTTCTTCTTCATCCTCTCCTCTTCTTCATTAGTGTTCTTCCTCTTCCTTTTCTCCTTCTTCTCTTTGTTCTTCCTCTCCTCCTTCCCCTTCTTCATCTTCTTCTTCTTTGGGATAATCGAGTTCTTGTTTCTCACCTACATACTAATAGGGAGTGTTTCGATTCTTCTAAGAATGATCTCATGATGGTTGTTTATGATTAGAGTTCTCCAAGCTTTTGTTTTTCACTCAATTGCTAGTAGGGAGTGTGGCACAACACCCATGGATGCTCCGTGATGCAATCTTGATGGGTAGAGCTCTCCAAACTTGTGTTTTTCTCTCATTTGCTAGTAGGAGGTGTTGCGATTCATCCTAGGATACTTCGCTGCACGTTCCCCTGATAAGATTGCTTCCAAACTTGTCATTTGACTGTTCTTGATGCTTGGATGGGTTGTGATTCATCCTAAGATACTTCGCTACACTTTTCCCTGATTAGATTGCTTCCAAATTTGTCATTTGGTTGTTCTTGATGCTTGGATGGGTTGCGATTCATCCTAGGATACTTCGCTGCGCTTTCCTCTGATTAGATTGTTTCCAAACTTGTCAT